TAATCTGCCTTCCCTCATTTTTCTGTCACAATCCTTATCCCTTGGATGTGAGGGGCCAGGGCACTGTGTGTGAGTTAAGGTTGTTTCTGTGCACATCCTGGGTGCTGGTGTCAAGCAGAACATTTTGCAGGGTCACCTTATTCCAGTTTATCCCTTCAGTGCTGATGAAGTGCAGGGAACCCCAAAGCCTCACCTTGGTGTTACAGAGCCTGGATTAGCAGTCTGCACCAGAAAGCTGGATAATTTAACTGCCTTGGACCAATTTTTCTGGCTTCACCCTGGAGCTATTCCAATTGTTTCCAGTGGTCCTAGAGGAGAGCTCAAAGTGGCTCTGTGGGGAAGACTTTGTCATAGAGGCTGCAAGTGCAGGACTCACTGTGTGTGAAGGCTGGAGACTCCATAAAGGTGATGTCTGCCAGTAATTCAGAATGTCAGATGGGGGAATGAGAGAAGTGGAGAGGCAGACTGCTGCTTTTCTTCCCAAGACGTTAATTCTAGGGTATAGCTAGTTTTATATTTTCTATTTAATACAAATGAATATTTCAGCTTCTTTCAAGCTTCTTATTAAAATAAATTATATAGCCTTCCTTATTAATTTCTCTATGGTATTCAAGATATTCTGACCTTGTCATAAGATAATTTCTTCTTTTAAAAGCCCAGTTTTTAATTTTTTTTTTAAAATACAGAAAGAAAGTGATTTTCTAAATGACAAGGTTGATGAAAGTCCTGTTTAAGACATGTGGGAGTATGAATATTTCTCAAAGGGGTGGTTTACAAAGAGATGTTTTCAATAAGTACAGTCAAAAGATTTTAAAAAGTACAGAAAAAGAAGAAAATTAATCACAAAGTATATTGTGTGTTAAGTATTTTTAAATTCATGTAATAAGTACAAAGGAAAACCACATTAATTAATCTCTTAATAGGTGTTATGTATCTTTTCTTGGAAGGTTAGAAGTGATCTTCACCTGAAGCTTTGGGGCTGGGGTGCCCTGTAAGGAACAGACTATCTTAAACCAGATTAGATTGGTAACCTTTTCATGATACACTTTCTGGAGGATCATTGTTTATCTTGTGCAAGAGCTTCCCTGTGAAGGGGCTCAAGGTAATTCCTCAGCAGCTCCTGGTATTAGGAGCAGAGAAATGTACAGAAATCTCCAAATGAAAGTATGGCAGAACAAAAATTCTCTGAAAATTCTGTTGTAAATGTAGGAAAGAGATGGAGAAGTGTGCAAGCAGCACTTGATTCTGCCTTAAAATGTAATATCTCTAACGAAAATTTTGGGAGTTGGTTTGTTTTTCTTTCTTGAGTTAGTTTTTCTTTTAATAGTTTTCAGCTGACTGGGGGGGCAGCTCTGAAACTGTGCTGTAGTCTAGATCTAAGAAATACAGTATTAAAACTAGAAATGAAATTTATCTTATTGGAAAGTACAATTTAAAAGATGAAAATATAGATGTTTTCTGATCTAAGACTGAGCAGACATTATTGTGATTTGTAATTGTTTGGGAGCTTGCAGTTGATGTCACAGCAAAACCCCAAGTAATTTGGAAAGAATCACAATTAACCTATTTCAAAGTAATTTGAATTTTGAAGGCAGAGGAAGTTATCTGGCCCAGACTGAAGTTACAAGAATTTCAGAAGCTTTTTTTGCCTCTGGTTCCTTTTCCTACAGGTCTTTTTTTCTCTGTAGTCTAGCGAACTATGTTTATTTTTCCCCTTAATTTTAAAATGCATGTTCCAGGAGCCAAGAAGAGCTGAATTCTACTTGGAGGGTGTCACAAATGTTCATGCATCAGATCCATTTGTTCCCCTGTGTTTGCGTGGGAGTGGACAGAATGCAGCAATATGACTTTTAACTTCCAGAAATTCCTGAGAGAGATGATGCACCTGCAGTAGGTGATGGGACACTGTTGGAGGGCTTGCCTTTAATTCATCTGTGTTCCTGAGCAAACTGAGACAAGGCTGTATTACCTGGGTTTTATATTACCTGGTGTCTGGCAGCTGTTTGATTTTTCTTTTCCTAAGCCACTTCATCCTGATTTAGGATCCCAGGACAGGCTGCTGTAGTCCTGCACTCTTGGGAACACCTGGAACATAGAGATGCTGGCCCAAAATCAGCTTGCCCATGCAAATCCTCACCTTATGCAGACTAGTATCTTCAATTAGTGTCATGTATGTGAATTTTAGAAGCTTCAGGGTATTCACCCTCAGCATTTCTCCCTAAGGGAGAGCTGATTCGTGTCAGAGCTGTAACAGGGACACAGGGATACCAGTATTCCCACAAAAGTGGGAAAAGATGGAACACAGCCTCTAACATGACTGGAAGTCCCAGGTAAAGAGCTGTTTTATCTTCCAACTCTCCGGAAATTTTAAAAATCAGGAAGTTCCCTGCTGTTTAATGTGAAGTGTTAAAAATCAGAAAGGATTTTTTCCCCATAATTTTTCAAGTTATTTTTTTAATCAAAGGATAATCAGGGGTCATCCAGGTCTACTATAAATTTGTATCAATACATTCAGTAGATTTTAAACAAGCTGTGCAGCATTTTTACAGGTCGTGACTTTGAGACAGTGTAACTCTCTATCCAAGCACCGTAATGCTGAAGCCAGACTTGTTTAATGACGTGATTATATCACCACCTCTGTTAACTTAAGTGGAAGGGTATCTACCAATATGCTTGCTATGTCTGGTATCTGTAATTACAAATATCAAATTGCATTTTTCTGAATGATTATAAAACCTGGAGGAGATTTTCAGGAATTTTATGTTGCTTCATGGAGGGGATTTAAGCCTATGCTAAAAAGCAAGCCAAATATGGAGTGCACGGGCACTTCTCTGAGAGGACGTCACATTCAGGAAAAAGAAGAGTGTTTTGTGGCTGCAGTTTTCCAACTACAGCATTTTGGAGACTCTTTCTCTATGTCCTTCCCAACCTCCCCCATCTGCATGGCATGAACTAGGGAAGCCAAGAGTAGGGACTGTTGCCTGCTCACATCCTTTGGGTGGAGATCAGAGTACAGGGATGCTGGGAAATGATCCTCCTTTATCCCTCAAAGGAGCTGTGGTTGTGTCTGGAGGGAAGAGGGAGAACTGCTGAACCGTACTGGGAAAGGAATAGGCCATGGGGTAATATTATTCAGCATGAGATGTGACCAGGGAGATTGTGCCATACAGCAGCCAATCCCCAAGGGCTGTTTTCCTGGGGAATAATCAAATTCTCCAGCCCTTTGACAAAGGAGAATGTGAGTGGAAAGAAAATTCCTGTATTTCAGCTTGTCCCTCTATGCCAGAGCCATAAATGACAAACTAGTTCTGCTTTAGTGCTCTTATTCAATCTGGTTTGGTTTGTTAAAGTATCAAGCTTTATTATAGTTCTGTGCTCTTATCGCTGTGTGTGCTCAGTAGTTATTTTCACTGATCGTTTTGCTATAGAATTATTATATAACAATTATTTTCTGGATTTAACCTTTTCTAGTCATTTTAGGAAGAGGGGAATCAGATTGCATGTTATTGTTTATTATTGTTAATGAACTATATATTTATTATGTTCTATGTTAGTAGAATATTATCACTCACTGTTGAAAGCGATTTTCCAGCTATTCAAAACTCAGAAGTAAAAAGAAAGTTAATTAAGATAATAGGATATTTTAGCAAACTTCTGATTTTGTTTTAACTGTTGGTTTCTACTCTCCATTTATCTAAATTCATATTTCCTATGATTATTATTATCCCATTAAAATGAAAAAGAAACAATGATATTTTGAAGAAGGAAAATCTATTTTCTGTAATTCTGCTAACTAAACAATCTATAATTTTCCTGCTGAGATTTTTTCCTTCTTTGCCAGTCTATCACTTGTATGATTTAATGTTTTGAAAATAAAGTTTTTGCTCTGCTAAGCTATTAGCAAAAGCTATTTTTCCAGGATAGGTATGATGAAGAAATTTCAGCAGTTACATATTGTTTCTGAAATTGTGGATTTGTTTTTTGTTTCATGACAGGTCTGAAAAGCTGTTTTTGTTAGCAGCATGCAAATTCCTCTCATAAAACATAATTTTTTTCTATTCTTTAATGTATTTAATAAATAGTCAGAAGTTAAACAAATACAGATGCTTACTGGTACTTTATGTGACAGTATTGCGACAATTGATAAATATGTTCTGTTTTGTGACAACAGCCTTCTGCTCAGATGTACCATCTTCCTTGGTGATTTTTAGTTGAGTCTCAGCTGTATTTCACTGTAGATGGAGCTGTATCACACATAAAATGAAACAAAAAAACCCTGTTACATTTGTTGCTGGTGGTTAAGGGATCTAAATTGCAATAAAAGAAATTCTTTCAATTAGTCACCTTCCAGACAGAATGGTGGCAAAAGCAAGGACAAGAACTTACGTGAATGGTTCCTTGCTGAAGGAATCTGCTCATATTGGGAAGCAGACATTGCAGTGGCAATGCCACTAAGTCTGCCTTCCCTTCTGCTAGGAAACAAATGGCATTGAGAAGTATCCTCTCACAGAAAATAGTCTGTGTTATTGGGAAAGGTGGAAGTCACTGTGAATTGCAGGCCGCCAAACCCTGTGTCATTGTAAAACTACTGCTACATTTCCCTCTTTGCCCTTTAGATAATAAGAAAGCCTGGGAGACTGTAAGAGGACTGCATTTTCCTTTGCTTTATTCTGGTCAAGTTTGCCATGAAGTAAGTGTTGAGTTAAGTGCTGACTCTTCTGATTTCATGTTGCATTTACACACCCTTTGCAGCAGTCAAACACCCATTTGAATTGGTGACACCAGATCAACCAGCAGCAAGAAAAGCTGGTTATGCCTCTGAGCAGTGAGGAGTGAGATAGAGGGAGGTGCAAGCCCTGCATGGCTGGTTATATGTTCTCTGATGGTAACAGTATGGACTGATCCTCTCCCATTTGTCATAAGAATGGAGGTGATTTCCTGTTTATATGTGTAATCAAGGCCTTCTTCTCATTCTGTCCCCTCTGAATCTCTGCAGTTTGCAAAAAGAAAACCAACCCCTCCATACAGATTTAGAGGAAACACTTGAAACAGGAAATTCTGGCACTTGGATTGGGCATTGAGAGAAGGTCAGATACAAAGGGGATGCAGTGGGGTAAGTAACTCAGCTCTAATGCTGTTCTGTAAAGAGTGTTAAAGAGCTGAAAATAAATTTTGTGGGTATAGACTGAAAACAGTACCTGACTGAAAACCCCCTGCACTATGCTGAGCCTCCAGTGTGGGCAGCAGGAGAGGGGAGGATTCTGCCCCACTCAGGTGAGACCCCACCTGCAGAGCTGCCCCAGCCCTGGGGCCCAGCACAGGAGGGACCTGGAGCTGCTGGAGAGAGGCCAGGGGAGGCACCAGGATGATCAGAGGGATGGAGCAGCTCTGCCCAGGATGATCAGAGGGATGGAGCAGCTCTGCTGGGAGGAAAGGCTGGCACAGCTGGGATTGTTCAGCCTGGAGAGGAGAAGCTTTGGGGCAACACAGTTGTAGCCTTCCAGGGCCTGAAGGAGCCAGCATGAAAGATGGAGAGAGACAGTTTGGAAGGTTTTGGTGTACCAGGACAAGGGGCATTGGCTTCCCACTGCCAGAGTCAGATGGGATACTGGGGAAGAAATTTTATTCCTGTGAGGGTGGGCAGGCCCTGGCACAGGGTGCCCAGAGAAGCTGTGGCTGCCCCTGGATCCCTGGAAGTGCCCAAGGCCAGGTTGGATGGAGCTTGGAGCAGCCTGGGATAGTGAAATCTGTCCCTCCCCATGGCAGGAGGGACTGGATGAGCTTTAAGGTCCCTTCCAACCCAAACCCATCTGTTATTCTATCAATACACACTGAGAGGTCAGATCACTAGGTTGTCATCCTTGATATATTTGTATCTGTTTCCCCATTTTGGAGTCAGACAAGATTTTTCCCTTAGCTTGATTCTCATTTTCCAAATTATGCTTGGATTTTATGATCATAAATGATGTGTTCACTTTAAGTGAAGTTAAACATTATAAAAATTTCCTAGCTCACATTCACTTGTAGCTGAAATGGCTTAACTTTCAGATGCTGAAAATTCCTCAGGTAGAAGAGTTGATCTTTTGTTTATAATTCTGGCAGAACGGGCCATCTGTCTCTCTCAACCATTTCCCTCTAGAAAGTATGATATTAAAGCTCCTGCATCTACACTGGCACAGAAGGCAAAGATTTTTCTTTCTGAGACTTAGGTTTTCTAAAAATACTGAAGGGCTGGAATAAAAGTGGAGAGTAGAAATTACTTGAGAAAAAACACTGTCTAAATATTTAAGCCTTTATTTAAGCCTTGTGTTATTCAGAGCAGAAGCAGGGACTTTAATCCCCTCTTATGTTAAAACCATACAAAGGTCCCTGCTTGCTTAACACAATCCTGTTACGCTGTTGTTTAATAGCTGTAAAAAGGAAAATTCTCCTGGGTGTCTTAAGAATCAGGAGTGCTCACTGGCCCAAAAACCTCTGAGGTTCTTAATTTAGATCAGCGCTTTTTTTTTATTATTTTTGGGGTTTTTTTGGGGTTTTTTTTGTTAATGAAAAGAAGTAAAACCCCATGGGTTTCCAGGTGTCCTTCTACTTCCAGCTACCAGCCACTTTCTTGTTATGGAAGAACGTTCCATTGTAATCAATTTATTACTTGATGACTTAACTCTCTGGATTGCTCCTTAAAAGTTTGTGTCAATGCCAGGACCCTGTGAACTGGTGGCTAAGAAACTGTGTCCTAGTTTTTTTCTGTTTATCCTGGAATCCTAAAGCAGATTGTTCCAAGCCAAGCAAACTGGTCTTAGACACTTTCCAGGACCAGCCACAGCTTCTCTGGGCACCCTGTGCCAGGGCCTCGCCACTGTCACAGCCAAGAATTTCTTCCTAATAAAGGTGTTTGTCAAATTTGTTTTTAGAATCCTGCAGCAAAGGAAGTCTCACCACCTTTCTGGATTGAGAGATTCACCATTTGGGTTTAACAATGTTTTCATTGCTCATATTTAAGTACTTTGAGACTTTTTCTCCATCCTTAGCAGAGTCATCACAGATCGCCAGCATTCTTGTAATCTTCTAAGCATCTGAAGAAGGTGGTAGTCATATAAATTTTCTTTTATTATCCTTTTTTTTTGTCATGCATCATGCTTCCTAATAATTTTTTATTCTAGATGGTTCCTTTGGACCAATTTGTTTATAATTTTATGGCTGTGTAGTGCTCCAAAATGGGTTTTTGAAGCCCTAATAGAGTAAGGGAAAGAGAATCCAGCTTTTCGGTGAGTGCATCGTAGCTTGAACATTGTCTTTATCAACATCATGTTGCATTCATTTGCTTAGTGGTATAATAATTATACCAAGTCAAGTTTTGAGATTCACCATCTAGTCCTTAGTTTACTTGGGCATCCCCCAAATGGGTTATTCTCATGAGAAATTTGGGGGTTTGGTTGTTTTGTTTTGTTTCACATTGAATTTAGTTTCTTTGATTTTAGAGTGCTTCCCTTACCTGTGATTCTGAATTCTGTTCTCGTACCACAGAGTGTTCATTGCCCATCCTAGCTTGGAGCTGTCCATAGGTTTAGAAATACATTTTATATTTCAACACTGAAGCCTTTGGCAAAACTAAGAACAGAAGCAGGGTTCTATTTGAAATGGCTTTCCTTATTAAGGCAGCTTAGGTGACATTGCGTGTCCTGGAATAGGCTGCCCCGGGACAAGCAGAGGGAATTTTGGTGCAAGGTTGGAAAATGTTGATTTGTCCCTCAGTAAAGCTGGACCAATGATCAACTCGACTGGTGACTGGTGATATTACCTCTCTCTTATCCCTTTTTGCCCATGTAGGTGGAGAGTAAATCATTGTTTATTGGCATTTGACATTCTGAAGAGCAGTGAAAATGGTCAGCATAAGCTACACCAGTGAGGGAGTTTCACAAAGATGAGTGAGCAGCGTTACTGCCAGAGCAATGCCCTGTGCCAACACCAAACAGGCCTTGCCAATGGCAGGACTTGGCACTTCACACCTGAAGTCCTTTTTTCTGGCATATGCTGATGCTGCTGGTGAATCACACAGGTAGGAAGGGACATTTTCCTTTTAAAATATATCAGACTGTTGATAAGCTGTTACAAAGGGCACTGAATTAAAGTCAGCCCCAGCTCACTGTTAATGTTTTTCCTTCTGCAGCGATTCACAGAGCGGATTTTCCCCCATCAGATAAAATTTTGAACTGTTGATTTATGCACACGTAAGTTATGCTTCCAATATTTTTTGTTGGCAGGCTTTATTTGTGCCACTGGATTTTGCTCTTTCCCAGTCAAGCATGCTGGGCCATCCGCAGGCACTGGAATTATTTGGATGACACAATTTCAGCACTGGAATGATTTGAACAGCACAGACTCAGTGCTGCTGTGGATTGAGTGTGCAGGTGATGCCTGCTGATACCTAAACATGGGGATGGATGTGTCCATTACATGTCCTGCACTGTCCTGCTCAGTGAGGCTGAGGCACAGCAAGGAACTTGTTTTTGTAAAGTCAGAGGATGGGTTTCTCCCAAAGTAATGTGAAATGAGAGATAGAATGTCTGTGTGGGAGAAAAAATTACTTGAGAATATTGAACTAGTTCTTGCAGCTGCATATTTATGAGATTGCTGAATTATTTTAAAACCTTATATAATGTTATAGTAGAAGATTTACTGCAAACTTATGTACTTACTTCTGTCTTTTAGTCCTAGTGCCTTATGACACTGTTTCCTTCAATTTTCTCTTCACACAGATAGATTTTTTTTTTTAAATTAAAATACCATCATATTTTGACAATACTTCCAAGTAAGAACCCATCATTTTATTTTTACTTTTGTTTATACTGAGTTGCAAAATACTTAATTATACATTTTGTATGGCTTCCCCAGTTCTAACAGAAAATCTCTTTTGTCCTGTCTCTTTCAATACAAAAATGCAACTAAGATTATTCAAATAACCCTATTCACTGGAATGACTATGATTAGCAATGTGATGAGAATCTAATTGTAAGAAATATGCTAATGTCTAATTTATTTTTACTGAACTACTTTGAGGGTTGGAAAGGCAATTTATATGCATTAGTAATAATAATAATAATGATGATGAATTAATAGATAAATAAATGACGAATTTATAGATAGATAATATGGATAGATATGTTATAGATGTTTCCAAAAGTCCTCTTTGGCAGTGTAAGTGGATTGTATTTTGAGCTGTATCAATGTTTATGATGCATTTTCATAGGTTTAGGTGCCAGTAACTGAGTAAGCATAACTAAGCCTTGATTTTACAGATGTCCAACTCTGTTCCCATTTTAGACCCCTCTCTGGGAAGGTGATGTCTCTATCCTGCTGCCAACCAGTGCCTTCTATGGTGAGTATTAACAGTTTCTTGTTTGTGTCTTGATGTGGAGGGGAAGAAGCAGGGAGACAGGAGAGTGAGAGCTCAGAGGATGCAGGGATGGGATCCCAGGCTAGGGAGGCAAAGAGTAGGAGAAGACACACACTATAAATCTGGAGCCTAAGTTTAGGGTGCACAGTGGAAAGAAAGGCTGTGATGCTGAGGTGCCCTGCTTGGGAAGGGAATGATGAAATCTTTCTGTGTAACCCAACTAACCCAAAAGCCACTTTTAACACTTGATCTACATTGCAAACACAGAAAAATGTTACCAATATGAGTTTGTTTTATTGCTTAATTAATTGACAAATACCTCCTATGATGACTGATAGAGGAGCTAGAAATTTAAAATGTATCCAAATAAATAGCTACAGCATTTCAAATGGTGTCAGCCATGTGGTTGGAAAGCCTGAACCTTTGTATTTTATGTCAGAAATAAACTCAGAGCTATAGGAGCCTCAGGGGGGGTTTGGATGGCTTTGGGGTAAGGTGTTGACATCTTTCCTGATCTTGCTCTCAGGATGTATGCACAACACACACACACACACACACACACACACACACAGAAACACCTGTGCACACCCCCATTTCTGAAGTTTGCATTCTATTCCTAAAACTGTCTATTTCCTAAAACTCCTCCTCTTGTCCAGAAGCTCTGCTTGATGAAGTTCTCAATCTCTCTGGGTTAACTCTTCACAAAAGCTGTGCTGAGAGAGTCATTACATATGTTGATAGAAATTGTAAAATAGTTCAGGAATAAAAAATTGGCATTTGGCCCTCTCGGTTTTCTGCGGCATCTGGGAGAAGATGATGAGAAGAGACCAGACCTTTGAGCTGCTTCCTGGTTTGGCAGCCCAACAAAAGGGGGTTTATCAGATGACCCACATCCTTTTGAGACCTAGAGGAATGACTTTCAGGAAGCAGACCTAATAGGTGGTCCCTGAGATACCTGCAATCAAAGATTGTCTGTGATACCATGGAGGTGGGGGTATGTCAAAGGATGAGGGGCTTCAGTTTTCCCTGCAGATCCCAGGGATATCACTTGTGTTCACTGTAAGCAGGGTGAGCTAAAGAGGAATTCATATGATGGCATTTCCTTCTGTCTTGAGATGGAGCAGATCCTGATGTTTTCTGAAAATTTTATGAGAGGACTACCATACATCCAGTGGAAGCAGACAATCAGCTCTCGTGTTTCAGACTTGTTTCCTCCTTGCTTTGTACGAGGATGGTATGAAGTGGCTGGTCATGTGTAGGAATATTGGGGTGTCCCTGTTGGAAGCCGTCTGAACTGGTAGGAACAAGCTGTTTCCTGTGAAACAACAGGGAAGATAAAAGCACTGGAAAAGACAGCTCCAGTTGGGAAAGACTGTATCTCACAATACAAGTGTTGCTTCCTTTGGGTACAAGAACCACTGCAGCTGCCACTGAACAGGCAGCCCAGAACTTGTCCTAAACATTTTTCCCAGAATTTTTTCCTTGCACTCACACTTACCTGAATTAGGAAAGCTGTCTGAGGTAATATTTGGCATAGTTCCTTTTTTTGTTGTTTTAGTTCACGAAAATAATCTCTAGGAAAATGGAGCAGCTCCTTTGGCAGGTGTGTTTGGATCTGCTGGGAAGGAGGCAGTAGTGGCAACACCCCCTTGTCATCCACTCTTTATCAGCTTTGGCCATTATATTGGCTTAAACTTCCTGTTAAATTGTGCACTAGTGATTTTGATTCTCCTCTCAGTTCTCTGGAATGCAGCCTGTGATGATTCTGCTGCAGCCCTGCTGGAAGGGTGGTGTGGGGTTCTCAAGTAACTGCACTGCAGGAAGGAAATCACGGAATTCATGGAATGTTTTGGCTGGGAAGGGATCTTAAAGCCCACGCAGTCCCACTCCCTGCCATGGGCAGGGACACCTTCCACTATCCCAGGCTGTCCAAGCCCCATTCAAACTGGATTTGAACGCTTCCAGGGATCCAGGGGCAGCCACAGCTGCTCTGGGCACCCTGTGCCAGGGGCTGCCCACCCTCCCAGGGAACAATTCCTGCCCTGTATCCCATCTGACCCTGCCCTCTGGCAGTAGAAAACCAATTCCCCTTGTCCTAACAATCCATCCCTTGTTCCAAGTCCCTCTCCAGCTCTCTTGGACAACTCTAGGCACTGGAAGGGGCTCTGGGGCCTCCCCGAGCCTTCTCCAGAATGAACACCCCCAGCTTTCCCAGCCTGTCAAATGCTTGGACCTCTCAGGGCTGCTGTTTGTCATCTCTGTGTTCTTGGGACATTTGGATGCCTGTTGGTCTGGCCCAAGTTGAGTCTTTATTTTGTGTTTTGCTCTATGCTCCATCAACATTAATCCTTGGAGAAAACCTGGCTTTTTTTTTTTTTTTTTTTGTAATAAGTGAGGTTTTAATATATGTCCAAGTAGAAATGTCCAGTTAGTTCTGGGAGCAGGTTAGGTACTACAGGTCTTGAGCACAAGGAATGGAACAAGTATTTCACTGCTGGGATTATTCTTGGCATGGCTCAGGAGAAAAACAAGCATAAGCCTTCACACTGTGATTGTTGACTAAATACAGGAAAGAAAGAGGCCAGCAGGAGACATAGTTATTCATCAGAATTTCAGTCATATTTCACTTAGCAAATCATTATGTCTTATGAAATTCACCCTCACTTCCCCCCCAGCTCTGTCCCCTATGTTTGCTGATAGATGATGGGGTAGCAGATTGTTAGCATTCTTCAGATACTTGTGTTAGCCTGAGACCTGTCTGAAAACTCTGTGGTTTGTTTTCATTTGTTTGTTTGTTTGTTTTGATTGCTAGTCAGAATCTCCTGAGAGTTTTCTGGGATTTCTAATGCTTTCAGAACTGCTTCTGACTCCTTGCTCTGGTTGTTGAGTCTGCCTTGCCTCTCAATTGCCTGACATGAGAGGCAACTCAGGATTTTAATACCAGCTATTGGCAGGAGGCTGGAGAGCAAGAGCTGTTGGAGCACTGAGAAATGGGGATTCTTCAAATTTATTTTCATTAAAATTCTTCAGATGGAGTCTCTGACCTTCAGGGAGAAAAGGGGAAGAAAGAGTCACCTGCCAGCACAGGTGTGGAAACCTGAAGAACCAGTCAGAAATGACACTTCAGAAAAACTGAATATATAACTGGCAGAAATAATTATGGGCAGGATGTGTATATGCATTGAAGGAATGGGCTTAGAGTCAACCACTTTCTTCAGTGCTCTCCTATCTTTAATATCGTGTTGAGACAGAAACACACATAATAGAAAAATATAGATTTTTAAAAATATGTCTAGAACTGATATGTAAGCTTAATTTTATCTGAATTAGTGTTCTGTTAAGAATTACTGAAGTGGCTGAATTTCAGCTTTTAAAAATCCCTATGTGTGCTATCCCCAAATGGCTAAAAGCTGCTGTTTTTATTAATTCTCTGGCTTGTATAGTTCTTGGTGACTGAACATGACCATGGTTTATTTCTTGTCTCTGAGGTACTCCATTCCTGGCTTGGCATATTTTCATTCCAAATTACAGAAGCTTTACTTGATGAGTGATTGTAAAGTATTCAGTGCTCTTCAACTATTTGGTACTAAATGAATTCAATTACAACCTCTTACAGAAGAAGTGGAGAAGTTATGTGACTTCACATATGAGACAAAGCACTTCTGTTGGTGTATTTACAAAAGCAATCTGGAGGCAAGAGGGACCATTAGGCTTTTTACAGATAACACCAGACATTTGTATGACTAAAAAATTTCAAATCTTACATCCATCCAGAAAAAAATAATACCATTTGAAGGGAAAAACAACATGTGTTTCAAACTGTTCTACCCTACAGTCCTCTAGGTGTAGGGCTGCCACAGAGTCACAGTTTGTCAATAAGCTTTGCTGCTGTGAATCATTTTATGATGTCCATGAATTCCTTGGGCTGGAGGCAGTGGGATGACTCACTTTGCCTGAATGCTCAGTCTACTCTGGCAAAGCCCAAGCCAAAATGGACAACTGTATCCCACTGAGAATGAGATTGCCCTAAAGCTTCACAGGGGCTGTGAGAAATGACTGAGAGTCACAGAAGTTGACTTCAATAAATACTGGTTTTAGAACCACTACAAAAAAAACCCAGCCTCTAATTTGTGATGCTGATTATTGTGTGAGTATTCACATGAGCCATATTTATAGACATTTCTCCTGCAGCTGAGGCTGTCAGAGTCCAGCACCAGGCAGGAAAGTCCCATCAGCCGGTGTTCCACAGGAATTCATCAGAAAAATTCTGGCACTCTGCTGCCACACATAGACCCTAGCTCCCGCAGCGTGCTGCTGAGTAGAGGTTTGGGATTTAGCAGCCCTGGATATCATCACAGTGTCACAGCCAAGGCTTGGTAGCATGACTTCTAGCAGAAAAGGACAGAATGAGTTTTAAAACAAGATGAGATGAAAATGAGGTGAAATGTCTTATAGATCTTTGCTTCTGTGAGTTATTCCTGGATACTGTACATGAACATAGGATAAATTTTCCATAAACAAATTCTTCTGTTCTTCTGTGTGGCTTAAACTTCTTTTGTGCTTGGGTAGGAAATAAGGTGGTAACAAGTATGTTTTCTGTTACTGTGGAAAGGGCCAAAAGAACATTTTTTGCATTCCAGGGAAGCGTGTTCAGTGGCTTAATCAAGGTTTCAGTTCAGCTCTTGGAGTGTCTTTACAGAGGCCTGTGCAGCCCCTCCGAGCACAGGGTAATACATCACTAACATGAAATCCCAAAAGTAAAACAAAGGAACAAAAAACCCACCACCAACAACCTCTGAAGTCATGAGGCACCAATTTTAGTATCTCCAGAAGGTGTTTTGTTCTCCCTCTGCACTGCTGCCCCTGATCCTTTCCCACAGTGCCACACATTCTCACTGTGTCCCAGCTGAATCTCCAGTTTCCAGCACAGAGATGTGTGTTCTTTGAAGTTCCTGCATGCCATCCTCATTCCAGCCTGCCAG